CACCTGCCAATTTTCATTCCACCAAATTCTCCATCATCATAATCACCCGGGGCAGGTACAATAGGCCAATCAGTGGCCGACGTGCCTAGTGGACCAGCTGGACTCCACCCACCCAATATGCGAAATTAATTAACCCATAGAGAAAATAAAAATTCACACTCTAATGGTGCGTTCATTAATAAGAGTATAATTGGGGGGCGAGGAGTAAGAATTAATATTTAAAGTGAAATTTCGGCTGGTTCTGTGTTCTAGTCTAGTTGTGTTCACAACACATTTCAAAATTTCCATTTGTCTGTATAGATCATCATCATCATCAGTAATCTGTCAAGACGACAGGTCCACAGTCTCTTCCAAAACAATTCCTCCACTTAATGCGATCTAGAGCTTTCTCCTTCAAATGACAGTATCCTCTTCTGTCCCCAAGGTCATCCAGCAACTTCTTACGTCTTCTTCCTCTATAGATATGGGATTTATTTTGGCTGGTAAGTCTTATTACCGGTTTCTTATATTCTGTGAGGCATGTGTCTTTACCAATGGAAAGTTATTGTAGTATATCAATCCGTTGCTAATTAATTAATAAACAATACCCGTTGCTAGGCAATATATTCCTAACACGCAACAATAGACTAACTGGGAAGAGACGTTCTCTGCACGGTCAGTGCGAGAGACGCGTAAAGCAACAATAACTGTTTAAAGCGATGTTTTTATGCGGTCCGTGCCGAGGTGTTTTAAGCAGAACAAGTCTAGATTTTAGTTAGTTTGGAGGCAGTTGCTGGACAGTTGGGGAGTGATTACGGAAGACAATGGATCTACGGCGTTGGAAGCCGTTACCGGGCGACAACCGGTGAAGACACAGCAGACTGAGAAGACTTAGTACTTGCTCTAGTGAATTGTAGAGTGTGTGCATTAGCGAAAGCGCTATAGTTACTTGTAGTTACATTCTCTAAATGTTCAATAAATCCAGTTACCAACCCAAACCCCATCTATAATCACTCATACACGTGACAGCATAAAAGTTTTATGTCTCGCTTTTATACATAACGAAATACAGAGGTACGTAATTTAATATGAAAGTGCGCAGCGAACAATCAATTGTCTATTATTCTGCAGGGTGCATAGTCAGCAGGAGTTGAGAGGCATGATCTCAGCAAAACGAAACCGAATACAACTGCGTTCTCTTCGATAATATTATTTGAAGTTCACAGTCAGTTAAATTATGAGTAATAATTTGAATGCTGTGCTTATTGATCGACCCTAAAGTTAGAGATATTACTTTTCTCCTAAATACTGATAAAATTATAGTTTCTTATATCTTATTACAGCAGCCCTGCACTCAGTAAAAAAAATATATTGTCACGTGTTGGGCGTATATCGCGACAAATAACTTCACGCCGTATTTGATATAGCGAATTTTATTTCACATTCGCACTTACAATCACACAATTGACAGATTTACGACTACTGCCATCTGCAGTATCACAAATAGTACACTCCAAATGCCAGAATACAACTGACTAGTTGCTGGCTAACTCGGAACTAACTCGGAGGTAGCTCGAGGACTGACTCGGAGGTAGCTCCAGGACTAACTGTGAATAGCCTTCGCTGCTCCTTAAGTAGCCTTGATCGGACAATACAGAAAACGGCCACGTAATAAGCACCCTTGTTGCCTGGCGCTATGTTGCTAGCAACGCTAGCGGTAGTAACCGCTGTTACCACCGTCGTCTCTCGCAATCCTGTTTCCCCGCGCTGCCTAGCAACCCGCGGTACCCTTGGTGACGTCATCGCTGTTGACTCGCTTTGCATAGCGACCAGGATGCTAGGACTCGGCTAACTTCGGCTCACTTCGGCTTCGCTCGGCGCATCACGGCTGGCGGGAGGAGGGGCGTCATCCATAGCTCAACATGTCACAATATTTATCTAAACATAAGGATTGCGGTTTTGTGAAATAAATATCCCTGAATGTTTAGTTAGAATGTTTTAGGTGTTTAATTATACACGACCGTTCATAAGTGATGGCATAAGAAGCAGACAACAAGTGAATTGTTTTATTACGCACCACGATCAGACGGTGGATTCATGAGATGCTTTCAAAATGTAAAACACTTAAAGAAGCTGACACAATTTTTTCGCATTCCTGTTAACGTTAAAACGAAACTACGTGAAACTATTTAGTAATAAGAATTACAAGGAGAATGATCTCCTGTTTCCTATAAGAAGAATGCAGTATAGCAGTTTTAATATATTTTTACACCTGAAGATGGTCATGTAGGGCCGAAACATGTGTCAAAAGTGTAAGTGGAAGAAAAAGGAACAATTTGTTGCATTATTGACGGACCGTGTTATACAAAGACGTTTTATTATGGCTTGTAACAGGATGCTGAAATACAGAATTTAGTACTGAGATTAATTTCATGTTATGTTTAGTGTCTTTTGTAAGCAAAATTCTAGTGGCATTGTTGTAAATGTGATTCTGTTAACTAAGCACAACGTCATAATTACGAAAATAAATTTACCTGGACACTAACATGTTATGTTTATATCGCAACGTGTTTCGGTAATTATGTGATCATAATCAGATTTAGTTTTTAATTTCATGCTTCCTGTTGTGTTACAATATACAACTTCTTTATTAACCGTCACAATACAACAAATATCAAGGTCAGTGGCCAGCTACGGCTCTGCTAGCCGTAGATGGACACTGACCTTGATATTTGTTGCGTTGTGACGGTTAATAAAGAAATTGTATAATCAGATATGTTTACCCCTTGCCCTGTTTCTTCAAGTGGTGCAATGTAAATTTCATAACCATCAATACTGTTAATAAGATTTAAGTTTTAAATTAAAATTTTGGAAATTCTGTTAAGCCGATCACAGTGGCAACATTGTTTATGGGGCGCGCTGCCATTGACCGCTCGGACATTGGGATGGTGACTTCAAATTCCACTCGGGGCGCGGATGCATGTCTGCTTCTTTTTCTGTTTTGTGGTCCGATGTGTAGGTCTGCCTACATCTGCCTTGTGATGGGTAGATCTCCTTTCCAAGGGCCCAAATCAATTGTGTGTAAGATTCAGAGTTTCAGATGTTCGTTGCGAATAGGAGCAGTGGGCGAAGGCCTTAAGAGGAACAAGAAGACTTCTGGTTCAAACTGAGGATTTAATTCGCTTCGTGGGAGGTGGAGTCCAAGTGGGTCCACTCCGCACAGCGGCCACTGAATGGCCTATTGTAGCCTGCCCCGGGTGAGTATGATGATAGAGAATTTTGTGGAATGAAGATTGGCAGGGGTAACCGAAGTACTTGGATAAAATCCGCCTCATCGCCACTTTGTCCACCACAAATCCCACTTGAACAGACCTGGGATGGAACCCGGGCCGCAGCAATGGGAAACCAGCAACTAACCGCTTGAGCTATGGTGCGGCCTAAACTGAGGATTTAGTTACAAGTAGGGCCTCTGTTGCCATTGAGGAGGTGTTGACTTCAGATGGTGTTGTGATGTTGTCTGATCGTTATTTCTTAATTTTGTGTCGATCGAAATTTTCTTTGGGGCTGTTCTTTATTGTTGCTTAATATCTGGGTTATAATATTATTATTGTGGCTTATAGAGCCGTTGCTATGCAACGACGCAGAAAAAAAACAACGAAACATCGGCCATTACTATGCAACAGCTTTCATAAATGCAACAAATTACTTGAGCCTTTACTAGGCAGCGGCCCGCGAGCAACAATAATACTACTGTTGGAAGTAGTGTTTTCTATGTGGTCCGCTCGGAAGCTATACCACTTGACCGTCCCAGTTCAGTTAGTTAGCGCAGTGCATTATATTAGTTTCTTGTACACTTCTATATTTGGGTTTTACGCCAATTAAAGTACACAGATTTTAATTTTGATGTTGGACTGATGGTGGTCTTTTTGTGGTGTGAAGGCTCAAGAGAAACAGCAAAAGGAAAGATTCAAGAAGAGAGAGAGAGAGAGAAAATGCAGTGAAAAAGGGGATGAAAATGAAATTCTTGGGAAAATTGAGAGACATTTTATTGTGGAGACGGAGGAAGAGCTTCGCTGGTTATCAGGTTCCCAAGCTTTGCCCGTTTGTCCTTCTAAGAGCAGAATGGAAGTGAAGATGTCAGTGTGATTATAAGTAGTAGATCAAAACAGGTGCCTCGGCATTTTGATTTATGAATTAGTGTCGACATATGATTCGGGAAAATAATTTTAGTGTCATTCACAGTAAGGGAACTTAATTTTAATGAATTTAAGTATGGTGGGTTACATGAGAAGCATGCAGGGGCTACTTGGTACTTGGGAGCCATCTTAGCATTTGTTTTAAGACAGAAGAAAATCAAGAAAACCTGTGTCAAGATGGCCGGCCTCAGAATCTTCCGGATTCATATTGGATTCTAGCCATCACTCCGACAGACAGAAATATATGAGGGATTACCTAAAGTTTCCCTAACATATATTATGTTGATTTTTTAATAATATGACTTAGAAGTCACGCGTAACAATACACTGATAAGAGAATTACATATGAAGAATAACAGAAGACTGTTTACTGACAATTTACATATCAGAAACACAACAATATATATTCATGATTTGAATGTGTATGAGAGATTAACTAAAGTTTCCCTAACAAAAATTATGTTGATTTTTTAATAATATGACTTAGAAGTCACGCGTAACAATACACTGATAAGAGAATTACATATGAAGAATAACAGAAGACTGTTTACTGACAATTTACATATCAGAAACACAACAATATATATTCATGACGTTCCTTGCGCTTCTTTATTTATCTTTTACAATGTATTTTAGGTGAGCGTGCTGACGTCTGGTAGTGTTAAGCGATATTTGTATGAAGGTTGTTTCCGTGGGCCGGGTAGATATGATATCTTTCCAGATTATTGTAGGGGATTTCTATTTTCGCACTATCTTGAGGATATTCACGGAACATGTTGTCATTTTTGTGTCCGTGTTTAGTTGGTGGTTTAAATATCCCAATAAACTACATTATTGTCAAACGTATTGCTTGTACGGGTATGTGCTCTTTGTGAAAGTTCATTCTATTTTACCATTACATTTTATTGAGTATTCTTGATATTTTAATTGATATATGATATATTTATCTATTACTTGTGGTTTTGTTCTTAAGGTTTTTTTTTCTAGTGTGCTTCACACACGGAATGTTATTTCAATATTTGTGTGACGGAATAATTCTGCAGATTTCGTAAGTTTCTTCGGAATATATAAAGATGTCTTTTTGTTCATTTTGTTGTTGTGGATGGGAGTGTTTGGGGTTTTGGTGATGTGTGTGCTGTTGTACTGATCACTACGTAGGTTTTTATTTTGTTCACATTACTATTATTCTATTAGATGCTGGGACAGCTCAGTCGTTATGGCGACTGTCTACGGGCTAGACGATCAAGGGGTTGGGGTTCAAGTCCAGATAGGATCAAAATATTTCTCTTCTCCACGTCGTCCAGACCGAAACTGGGGCCCACCCAGCCTCCTATCTAATGGGTACCAGGGCCCCTTTCCCGGGAGTAGAGCGGCAGGGTCGTGAAGCTGACCACTCACCTCCAACTAATGTCGAGGTCGAGAAAATTAATCTATACATTAACTCCCACATACGCCTTCATGACGTGATGCTTAATTAGTTAATCACAGATACAACTTTTTTATCTTTTACTATTATTCTATTATATTTTGCGGTTATGAAATATCTTAGTGTCCGGTGTCCGGTGATGACCTTCGGACTATTTAATAGAATCACAAAATAGTATAATATCACTAGAGAATTACATGCAGAAGAGAACGAATATGATAGTAATTAAATAGACACGCTATACTACGTCGAGTGATATGACATGAATGATGAATTAGAAAGAACTTAAAGAAAGCCGTCTTGTGTGATGTGCCGCTGTGTAGCTATTGTGTTAACCGACGTTTCGGAGCAACGTATCGACTCCATTTTCAGGGTAGAAGAAAAAATAAGAAAATCCACGAGCGAGGAACCAGCGCAAGCAAGTGCTGACAGACTAAACTTCGGTTCACGCAAGATCTACACGGCGCCACATCCCAGAAGCTGGCATTCTTCATAGTCACCGCCGTGAAATCCTCAGATCTTACAAGAAATAACTTCTAAGAAAATGTTCGTGAACCAATCGACGTAATGTCCTAATTTGAGCTGATGGGCTGAGGAAAACCACGAGTAATCTCAAGTTTCCAAACAGAAATACGGAACTAACATGCTTCTCCGTTATAAGTCAGGCGCGTTACCGCTGAGATATCCTCCTCTCTGCATCTAGAAGTCATATACTTGCAGCGTGTATCTTTCGCGACAGGATACTGTGTTTATTTGTGGTACTCTACTTACAAATACAGTCATTATATCACCTACCTCGGGTCTCGTTTAGAGAGAGACATTTGAATATTAATCTCTCGCTTGTATATCTACGATTGGAAAATATGTCACAACACTAGGGAAACGATTGTATAAACAAACTTATAAATGAACCAAAGCTTATAAAATGAAACAAAAGTCGAGATTTTTATTGGAAAATATTGGAATTATTTGTGACTGCTAATAACATTGGGTTCTGTGTGTGATGTGGGAATATAAAGATAAAATTAAATTGAATTTGAACTAGACAGATGATGTTTAATTGTATTTATTGTCACGTGTAGGGGTGTACATGTGACAGATATTGTGTGTTATACATTGGATTGATTGGATTTATTAGGCGTCTCTGTTACAATTTCACTTGATTACAACAGTTCACACATTTTACTCCTTCGGGATAACGAATCCCTCACTGTTTTCTGGATCATGCGCTAGTCTCTTGTCTTCTCTTTTTTATCTTCCTGTATTCTTCTATCGTATCCTGTTCTATTTTGGTTAGTTCTCTCCCTGAGGTAGGTCCTGCTCGAGCCGTATGAAGATCACCTCCTTTTGCGTCACCGAAGTAACTTCCCGTTTCTGTATCCGTTGCCTAGGAGACGTCTTCAATATTTCCTCTGTTGTCGTGGTTATTGTAACCTTCGCTACTAACTAACCGAGGTTCTATTGTTGACCACGTTGCACGGGTTTCTCTGGTTCCGTATCTTGATCTGAGTAACACGTCACAATAAACACAGAACATATGCAGGTCTAGAAGAAAAATAATGTGTATGCTTGTTGTTACTCAGTCTTCGGGTTATACTTGTCGCATGTGTTCCTTTTCGTGTTAGGAAATTAAACTTCCGAAAACTGTGGACAGCTGAATTAAGAAAACAAATCTTAAACAATCAAGAAAATATCATATTTCTTGTGGAAGCATGAAATATTGACAGTAATATAACTTAATTAATCAAACTAATAATTAGAGATGCCGGTCACGGTAGCCGACCGGTCTAAGGCATGCACTGTCTTCGCTCGCTCGGAAGCCGGGATCGTGGGTTCGAATCCCACTCAGGGAATGGATGTTTGTGTGCGTTTTTCTGCGTTTGTCTACAGGTAGAGGCCTTGCGACGAGCTGATCACTCGCCCAAGAGTCCTACCGAATGTGTAAGATCTAGTAAACCAAAGTGAAACGGAGAGTTTCATGGAAGTAGGCCTAGGCCCAAATTGGGGCTGTAGCGCCACAGGAAAAAAAATAATTAGAGGTATGCAACGAAACGAAAGAAAAATTCAGTTGACCTACTCCTTCCAGCCGCACTAGGCCCTGGGGTTTACTCAGCCTCTAATAGAAATTAGTACCAGGAATTAATCAAATAATTCTCCTGGGGTGTAAAGCGCTGCAGGCGCGTAAGGCTGACAACCTTACCGCCATCTTTGAGCAGATTGTCTAGATAATGTGGGAGCCTCAACGTCTCAGAACCCTATGGGCCTTCGCGGCCTGGTGCAGGGATAGCTTTATTTTTTACTTTTTTCTTAGAATTAAAATTAAGTTTATACAAAACTAAGTCAGATAATGTATTGTGACGTGTTTAGTTACTGAAGACGCCGTAGAGATTGTTAACTGGTTTATTCAACAACCTACAAGTAACGGCTACAATTAATTATAACAATGTTGCGGGGTTTCACAGTTTATAACCCTATTCGCAATAATCGCTTCACTCTATCTTCAAAAGTCTTCACGTATTAATAACGCGGGACCTATACAAGTCTCTCTGAATTACACACTCCACATATAACTGTACTACAGCACCCACTAAGTCTCGAAAGCACACAATAAGTCTTCCGCTCGCTGACTTCTTAGTTATCGCACACTGTCGCATAAAATCTTATAACCACGCGTTCGGGTCTTCTTACCGCGACTTCTGCCATATTTCAACTCAACTCGTAGGCAGTTTGTTTCACTTATATAGACGCAGCGCTTGCCTTTTACGTAATCGGTACCGCTGTTGACTGGCGCCTTGTCGACAGCGGCGTTGCGTGCCATGTCACAGTGCGGAGGGGGTGGGGGACGGAGCGCTGACTCACTCGCCACTTTACTGCTGGGTAGGGAGGGGTTCTCCGTTGCGCAACATGTCACACTGCTCCCTCCTTAAGGCTGTTCATCCCGAAAAGCCTAACGGTGCACCCCGTTCCTTTTCTTTGGAGGCTGTTTTTGCAGCATCTCCTTTTTATCTTGCTACTGTTTCTCTTCTCCCCGTTGCTCTGCTTTCCAACTGCTACATCTCCCCCCCTTTTATGGTTGCTCATCTCGGGCAGCTCCATGATAAGGCGCGAGCCGGTCCAGGTGTACAACCAACATCCTCGACCTAGGGGTCTTCTGGATTCTGTATACCACATCATTTATCCGGGTTACTACTTTGTAAGGACCTTCCCACGATGCTTGTAGTTTCGGCGATTTCCCTTTTCTGCGGGTTGGGCGATAGAGCCAGACTCCTTCGCCTTCGTCGTAACCTGCGGAGTTGGCCAGTTTATCGTACCGAGTTTTCATCCGGTCACTGGCAAGCTTCAGATGTTGCTGGGCATAATCGTGGATGTCGTGCAGATGATCCACCAAGTCTGCTGCATAATCGGTTGCGGGTTGTTCCTTGTCTGGGGGAACTCCAAACAGCAGGTCGCAAGGTAGTCGTAGTTCTCTTCCGAACACTAGGCTAGCTGGGGTCAAGCCCGTAGTGTTGTGAGTGGATGCCCTGTAAGCTAGGAGAAAGAGGGGTAACCTCTCATCCCAGTCCCTTTGGTGGGATGGGACGATCTTCCACAAGTGCTCCTCGGTGGTCTTGACGTAGCGATCCACCATGCCTTCCTACAGTGGGTGCAGGGGTGTGGTGCGCGTCTTGCTCACTCCCAGGCGTTTAAGAACTTCTTGCAGTAGATGAGACTCGAAGTTACGGCCTTGGTCACTATGCAACTCCAGAGGTATGCCGAAGCGGCAGAAGAAGTTAGCAACCAGAACTTCCGCTATTGTCGAAGCCTTCTGATTCGGGATGGCGTACACTTCCTGCCGCTTGGTGAAGTAGTCCATAGCGATCAGTAAGTATCGGTTTCCTTGGTCGCTTCGTGGGAAGGGCCCTGCAACTTCAATGGCTACACTCTCGAAGGGAGCCCCAACATTATACTGGTGCATTTGCCCACGATTTCTGGTCCGCATTCCCCGACTGGCTGCACATGTGTAACACTGTCGACACCATTTTTCAATATCGGTTCTTACTTGGTGCCAGTAGAATCTCTGCCTAACATTATTCGGAGTTTTGTTGACACCAAAGTGAACTCCTGACGGTACACCGTGCAGTTCGCTCAGAACGTCCTTCACCCTGCTCCGAGGAGTAATTATCTGGGCTACTTGACGACTTCCGATGGGGCATTCCCAGTCGCGCTCTAGTACGCCGTTTCTCACAGCGAGCAATTTCCTCTGGACCCAGTAGCTTTTGTACGTGGGACTCCAATCCGCGATGTCCTGCCATTTTGGTCGTTGGCCGTTTTCTACTTCTTGTAGAACAGGCCCTATATCTGGGTCTTCTAGCTGTTCCTCTCTGAGGGTAGCTGGGTCCCAGCCTGCTGCCGGTAGGATTTTAATATATCGTATTTACTTTACCTGTGTCCG